AGTTTCGGAGGAATCTAAGGAAAATTGGAATGGCGGATCCACTTTACCCCTTTGCTTGTCAGTAACTAATACGGACTCTCGTGGTCCAATGATACCGCCGGTACAAGACTTGAAATCTTCCATATCCAGTGTATCTTCGTTGACCTGTCTAATGCCTCCGGTGTCCCTGGGATCACATTCAGATCTCACATGTTTGCTAGATGATGAAGGAAGCAAGAACAACGGTATCCCTCGATAGCTTATATATATATATAAGCTTATAAATTATTATAATATATCGATAGCTTATAAATTATATGTATGTATGTATATTAATTTTTTTGTTTTTCGCAGATACTACGCTACCGTCGTCATTACACTATTCCTCTTTATACGCACATACTGAAACGTCCACAGAATATTACAGTTTGATGCATTCGACTTCGATATACAACGTCCGTACCACCACGTACAACACATCCGACAAGTACTTTCCGAACGGAGGAAAGTGCTCGCTTATCGATAACAATGAAAACCGCAGTGATCTCACGAAAGATCAATATGCTGTTGAAACAGACCCAACAAAACATGAAACAACTGCTGGATATTCCAGTACGAAGTACAGTAGCGTGCCAGCAAGTATGTACAATATAAATCCACATCATCCATCCGATACGAACGGCAATCTTAGTGACAAATATGATTCCGAGGACGTCGACAGTCGTTATCACGAGGTTGAATACATGGAGGTGGGTAGCGAGGAGATAGTAGAGTCTTGCGATGTAGAGAACATGGTCGCTCAGGTTCAGGAGGACTGGGAGCCGTTCGATCCTTATGTCTTCATCAAGCACTTGCCGCCGCTCACGCCGGCGATGAGAGCGAGATGCCCGGCCCTGCCCCTCAAAACGCGAAGCAGTCCGGAATTTAGCCTGGTGCTAGACTTAGTAAGCTCGAATGAGACTTCACTTCTAGTTAAAGTTTCAGTTTAACTTTCGCGTCCCCCTCGAAACTCTTTAAATTTTAAAATTAAATTGGGACACTGTATGTGTACTGGATGTCCCAATTTTAATCGATCACCTTCAAAAACTTTTATTTTTAATTGTACAACAAAATGTTTCACACAAAAATTGTGATTTGAACACTTTTCAAGGTCATTGAAGGTCATTTGTTTTTTTAAATGGAATTACTATACATTTTTTTAATATAAATCTATTCTTTTTGCAATTACTTTAGTACTTAATATTATCTTTCAGAAAAATTCAGTAGCATTATCTTTTGTCCTCTTTTAAATCAAACAACTCTTGTTTGAAACATTTTGCTGCGCAATTAGAATAAAATAATTTTTGAGGATGGTTGATTAAAATTGGGCACCTTGTATATTGCATTTATAATGGTAAAAGCCATGGTTATTACATCATTTTTTTCTTCTCTTGCAGGACGAGACATTGGTCCATTGCAGCTTGCAAGAACTATCTGACGCGGCGTTTCGCTTCCCAGTGGTCTTTCAGGATGTGACGTATACGGTATTCGTGAGAACGCGACCGTACTTTCGCGAGTTCCTCGAGCACGTCTCGTCACTCTACGAGGTGATTCTGTTCACGGCGAGCAAGCGGGTGTACGCTAACAAGCTGATGAATCTGCTGGATCCAACGCGAAAGCTGATCAAGTATCGTTTGTTCAGGGAACACTGCGTTTGCGTGAACGGAAACTATATAAAGGATCTATCCATCTTAGGTAGGGATCTGTCCAAGACCGTAATTATTGACAACAGTCCGCAAGCGTTTGGATATCAGGTAAAGTGATTTGTTCTCAATATATATATATATATATATATATATATATATATATATATAATAAAGTGCACTCTTCTGGAACGTGCGTTTTTGAAAACGGTTTTGTGTGTTGCAGTTGGAAAATGGCATACCTATAGAAAGTTGGTTTGCCGATCGTTCGGATAATGAGTTAATGAAGTTATTACCATTTTTGGAAAATCTAGTAAACTGGGTAAGCATATTTTCTCAACTCCTTCTCACCGCGGCTATGTCAGATTGTGACGTCAGAAGCGAGAAAGCACACGCTGTAAATTACCATTTTTAAATGAAAGGATATTTCAATGAAACACTACTTAAGATGGCAAATTACCCAAGTAACATACTGACGTCATTAAACGTCAAACTAACGTCACTTTGACGTTTAATGATGTCAGAAGTGAGAAAACAAAATTCTTAGATGCCATTTCGATGAAACAGCACTTCAGATAGCTATCTACCAGGTGTATGCATAAGTTTTTTCCGGTTTAACTAAGAGATGGCGCCAGCGAAAAATTTGTTCGTCTGACATAAAACTACAAACACACACAAGTTGAGTCCGCTAAAAACTAGTGTCTTTGTTTTATCGTTCAGTGATCATGTCGAATTTTTTGCCTGAAAAAGAACATTTGCGACACGCATTGCTTTTCTTATTTAATCAAAAGAAAAAGGCTGTTGAAAGTTATCGTTTGCTGGTAGAAACATATGGTGAACACGCTCCATCGATTAGAACATGTGTGAGACATGGTTTCGACAATTTAAAAGTGGTGATTTCAATGTAAAAGACAGTGAGCGCTCTGGTAGACTACAAAAATGCGAAGACGAGTAATTGCAGGAATTATTGGATGATGACTCAACTCAAACTCAACGGCAATTAGCAGAAGCATTACATGTATCACAAGAAACAATCAGCAGACGTTTACGAGCAATGGGAAAGATCAATAAACTCGGTAAATGGGTCCCACATGAAGATAGCTTAAAATACCTCCAAAACTACTCAAGTAACATACTGACGTCATTTTGACGTTTAATGACGTCAGTATGTTACTTGGGTAGTTTTGGAGGTATTTTAAGAGTGTGCTAAAGCTATCTGAAGTGCTGTTTCATTGAAATGACATCTAAAAATGTTTTCTCGCTTCTGACGTCACAATTGCAACCTGGTTGGCAAGAAACTAGGAGTCTTAATATTGGATCAATTTTTGAGATTTTGTTTTTTATTTCGTTTTCTTTTTGCAGGGAGGCGACGTAAGGCCGCGCATTAGAGACCAGTTTCGACTATTCAGCTTTCTACCACCAGATTAATGTAACTTTAGCATGCACAGAAATTCAACATTGTCCGAGATATTTCTTAGCCCAATAAAGAAGAAGAAAAGAAAAGAAGATACAAAAACTATCTTAAAGATATATTAAAATAGATAAATAAATAGTTATTCTCTCCGCGATGCATAAAAAGCGTAAGCCGCTATATAATATTCTAATAGTTTACAATGTTTCACAAAATGGATATGCCTGTTGGTATATATAGAGAGATGAAATTTAATAATTCTAGATCTTATCGGAATTATATTGTTCTGATTCCATTGTCCGAGAGAGCAAGTATCTGCGAAAAAAATGTTGCGTACATATGTGCGATTTTGTTAGTTTATTCGTTTATAGATTTTAAAGTTCGATATCAAACAAATCAAATCTTGTCTGACAAGAGAAAAATCAGTGAGCATAAATATCTATTATTATATAATTTTTAGCGATACTTCCAAACGAGTACCAAGTCTCTCCATGACGTGATTATATGACCTCTGTGTATATAATAAGACTTGTATAATTCTGTCACAATTTATTCTTGCATTGCGAATACTTGAAAAAGTAATATCTAAAATTGTTAATTTTATCTTTTTTTTTCCATCAGTGTAAAATGATCTCAATTTATTTATCTGCATGAAACGCGTTTAATTTGAAAATTCTATTCATGCTAACCCGATTTTCTGATTGTGAATTACAATTGTTTATTATCACAACTTATAAATCTACGTCTAGATTGCAATTTATATATATACATATATATATATAAATATATATATACATATATATATGTATATATATAAAGATGTTATAAACATCTCTGTCAATAATTATATAATTATAGGATGTCATAATTATATAATTATACACGATTATATGTGCTACATGATAAACCTGTGTATAATTCATAGTGTAAGAAACATAGACTTCAAAATCAAAAAAAAAGAAAAAAAAGAATTAGCAGCAGCATTATCATGTAATAAACGGCGTCGCAAAAATCTTACGCCTCGTAGTGTGTTTATCATAGTTTAAGATTATACTCATATTATGCACAAACACACATTATAATAATAAATAATAACAGATTATTATTCGTGAAATCAGTTGGATCGTATACATATATATATATAATTTCCCAGAAAACGTTCTCTTTTATCAGTTGCGAAACATTTTTATTTTGTGTGTTACAATAAATTAATCATAGAAATAAATTAACGAGCTATGTAAAGCGATAAAATGATTTCTTACGAGTAGACAGACATCATTTGATTCGCGTTTCAACGATATAATAAGTGAAACGCTGGAGACAAGAAATTGAACATTTATATACAATTTATAAATCATATTTATAAATTATATTAAATAATAATTTAATAAAAAAAATAGATTAAATTTTACATGCAGCCATTACTCGCATCTGCATGCGACAGATATATAAAAATGAAGAATGATGTATATATTGACTAGAAAAGTTTGTTTTTCCTTCTCTAATTTGCTATATATGTAATATATAACATCGAGATGAGATATACTTTAATTTACAGTAATTTACTTAACAATGTAAATTACATTATTAATTTACATTCCTGGCTCCTCTCCAACCATGTTGGAATTGTGACGTCAAAGGAAAGAAAACACGCTAAAAATTCGTAGATGTTACTTCGAAATATCTTTTCATTTAAAAATGGCATCTCAGAATTTCCAATGTATTTTCTCGCCTCTGACATCATAATCTAACACGGCCGCGATGAGGATCCTTAATTATAATTTATAATTATAAATAAGAAAAATATCACCATTTGATGATGTATAATTTATGATACACTTTATATATATATATATATATATATATATATATATATATATATATATATGAAAAGAACGAGATTTTTATACCCAATCAATAGCTTCCGAAATCGTGCGTCAATTTGCTTTGGCACATTTTATTGCCTTGTCATTGGGCTATCACGTTTTTTGAATTTAGAGAAAGCTCGCCATTTTCTTTTAATTCATTTATCCTTGGTTAATTCGTTTATCCATGATACGATGGATGTCGGATCATTGGCTTAATTCTTGAACTCCAGCGTTTCATTGATAGTGTGATTGTTCAGAACTTGAGGAGAAAAAAAGCTGAAAAATGTTATGTGCAGTATTATGTATTTTAAAAAGAATTATCGCCATAAGTATTGGAATGATCAACTTTAATATAATCTCATATTTATAATAACAACAATAAGCTAACATTAAAATGTATACTACATGTCGTACTCAACATTACTCGCACTTCAGATATATCCATCTTGCAGCGAATAAAAAGAAAAAAATAAGATTCGATTTTGTATGAAACAAAAAATCAAGAGAATTTGAAGACCGAGAACTGTAGACCTCATTGAATATTACAGAGATTTTCCTTTATATGGTCGTCCTTGGCCACGTCAGTCGCGAAGCACAGGAACCTCAAATTACGATGTATGTAATCGGTGTACCGCAACTCGATGTATCTGAAGTCCGAGTAGGATTCTATCTAATCCTCCGTACGCTGGAAATACCTAGTCTCGATGCGTTTACAGAAAGTCACCAGCTTCGGATGGTTGTGCACGATCATGGCCAGCTTGTCGTTAGGCAACGGAGTGGTGATTATTGTGAATATGTGGCCAAAAATCAAGGCGTCCAGTTCATTGGGTTTGCTAAAAACGTAAGAATCGTCCATTAAAGTCTTTCCTTATATCGTGATCAGTATATTTGTAGAAGGACATGTCTTTACGGAAGCTGTGCATGCAAATCAATTCATCGATAAGGTAAAGGAATGTTCAGAAAGAGGAGGAAGCGATTCGGGCTGTGATTGGAAGTCGTCCCACAAAGTATTTCTGGATGGTGACTCGATTATCTCAAACTCTTCGGCAATTTTGTGTCGCGCTTCTTCTAGATTGAAGCAGCAATCTTCAATTCTGAGCGCATGGTCTACTAGTTTAGGAAACTGACGAATTGTGGCGATGATTCCGTGATTTGGGGCAAAGGAGGACGACGCGAGGGCTTGAATGTGGCCGTACACCAGGGCATCGAGTTCGGTGGGACTTGAAGAGACATGATTACAGGATGAATCGTGAAAATAAAGGAAGGAAACCAAGAGAAGAGTCGCTTACTCTTTCCCAAAGAAGAACTTCTCGTCCGCCAGCCTTTCGGAGAGGGCCACGCAACACTTTCTCACATCGTCGAAGACCTCGTCCAGGCTCTTGCTATACCAGCCGAGCACGTTGAGCCTTTTTATCACCTCTCGTCTCTTCTGCCAGTTCAGGTAATGATTAAGCGGCCAGGGGTACACGCTCCCGTGTCTAGGCTTGGTGACTGAATTTAAGATTGCTGTGTCCACCCAGCAGATGTACAGTTCTGCGTTTACAAACACGTTGTTTACGAGAGACAGGTAAGCCCTCATGTCCACCTTGGCTGCTGAATCCAAATGATCAGATAGACTCATCCCCTTGCTCGCTATGTGCTGAACTATCCCGTCGAATTCTGATATCAACTTTGTCCCGCATTTGATGAAGGGCACGCGACCTGACGGCGACATGAACTCTGCATTCTTCCTCGGTTCTATTTGAAACTCAAGCTGACACATCTTGAGGAAGGCCTGCACCGCCAGGCAGTTTGCGTTGTCAGGCAGGAGAATCTGCTCCACCTCATATGGTTGGTACAAAGTGATGGGTTGAGGCCATGGTTCTTGGGCTAGAAAATAAGACTCGTTTTTACATGGAAAGTGACATCTACGATGTAAGTTACATAATTGACATATCTACATATATCTAAGAATTAATATGATAGGATGGATTAAAAGATAGTCGATGGAGATGAAGTGAAGAAAGCTACAACAGAAGGACTTGTTATTACATGCAGGTGGTATCCAGCTTTGATGTAAGTTACATGATCGACATATATCTAAGAATTAATGGCAGGATAGATTGGAAGATATAGTTGATGGGGATTAAGTGAATAAAGCTGCAGCAGAAAGACTTGTTATTACATGCAAGGTAGTCTTCAACTTTGATGTAAGTTACATAATCGACATATATCTTCTCTAAAAATTAAGCAGACTGATATCACTAAATGTCAAAATGACGTTATTTTGACATTTAGTGACGTCAGTTTGCTAATTGGATTGTTATTACACGCAAGGTGGTATCCAGCTTTGATGTAAGTTACATGATCAACATATATCTACGAATTAATATGACAGGATAGATTGAAAGATATAGTTAATGGAAATAAAATGAAGAAAGCTACGGTAGGACTTTTTATTACATGCAAGGTGTTATTCAGCTTTGATGTAAGTTACATAATCGACATATATATATATCTAAGAATTAAGCAAATTGACGTCACTAAACGTCAAAATAACATCATTTTGACGTCGAATGACGTCAATTTGCTACTTCGGTTGTTATTACATGCAAGGTGATATTCAGTGTTTCGATAAATTACATAATTAATATATATTTAAGAATTAATGCGACAAGACGGATTAAAGAACAGCTGATAGGGATAAAGTGAAAAAGTGGTTCTTTTGGGGAAGGAAATTCGAAATGACGTTGTGTATGAAACCGCGCATTGGTTTGTTTACAGAAAAGTGAGGTTACGTGTGACGCGAAAATTAATTTATCTTACATAAATACATTGTTAAACTTTACCTTCCAACTCCACCGCGATCGAGTCGCTTAACAATACATGAGGCATATTTATAATTACGATATAATTATGTACAGATGAATCTTACTCCCGTTTCGCTATTTCAAGATTTTGCGATTGATTATATATACGTTGTAAAAAGAGCGCCACGAGTGAATTCTTAGAACTCCGCGTCGTGTAATGATTTTTCCCCCCTTATTGTAAACGTGTTACATCAAATGCATACTTTTGTGCAAAATAATTGGAATAAAGTTTAAATTCAGCTATAAATTTTAGTCTTTTTCAAATCTATCTTCGTCTGTGTTCAAAAAAATTATATAATTTGTTTTTTTTTGTATTATTATTATAAAATTATATATACAATTTTTCATTTTATATATATACAATCGTGTGTATATTTTACAACTGTTTTATACGCAGGGTGTCTCATCATTTTAACTTACACAACAAAGTCATATAAAATATTTTAGACAAAAACGTTATAGAATTTCGAAGGGGAAGGTTGGCGCTATTGATATTTTTTGTAAAGCTCAATTTTCAAGGTCATTTAAAGATCATTGTTTAAAAATGAGACTATTATTGATTCTTCATTAATATATTTATTCTAGAAATTATCATGATTTTTATCATTAAATCGATGAAATTTCAATCACCCTAAAAAAATTAATTTTCTATAAATATATAAACATATATACGTAATAACTCACCTTGTAAATCAAAAGATTGCTCTGCATCATCTTCAACAATGATCTGTTTTGCATCGAGCTGAGATTCATCCTAAATTAATACTTAATAATTATGGACACATATGATATGTGTTTAAAATATATCATATCTGTCATTATTAGTAATTCTTTAAATCAATTACGTATATAAAAATATACATATATCCTTTGAAATATGTAACCTTTGAAAACTTTGCCCCTGACAAAAAAGCGCGGAGAACATGTGTTTGCAACGATGACACGTCATTTTTCTTCTCGAATTTCTGAAATGCATCGCACATCTGGTAGGTATGCATGTCTTTCGTTTCAGAAAGGAAATTTACCAAAGATTTTTTCTCTCTTCATGTATAGATGTAAAACTTACAATATATTTTCACCGAAACTTAATTTTATATTTGACCTTTTTGATACAACATTTGCCGGATAAGTCAAATTTTCATTACTACTTTTATGATATTGACTGACGTAGGTAGTCAATAGAATGTCCATTTAATTTTATTCTAATGTTTTTTTTAATACAAAAGATTGTAACAAAAAAAAAAGAAATATTTTGGAAAAAATATACGTTGATTCGAATATGTACAAAAAATATGTATATGTATACAAAAATTGTATATAAAAAAATATGTATAAGAAATTTTTAGATTTTTTCTATTTTAAAGATATTATTTAAAAGTTATTATTCGTCTCAAATATAAGCAATAAATAATCTGTTCAGGTTCTAAGTTTCTAATTTTTTAGCTTTTTTAAGGTCTTAGAACAGTGTACGCAATCGCTGATTAATGTTATTGCGCACCAATCATTGTTGCTAAAAAGAAAAATCTTTTTTTATTGTTTATAGGTTTCTGAAAGCAGCTACTTTAACCAATAAAAAAATTTAACAATATAATATATCTTGTATTACATAAGCCAATATCCATTAAATATATTAAAATAAGAAGGACATAATAATAATATTATCAATATAATTCCTATTTTTGTAGAGCAATAAATCTAACAATAAATTTATTTAATTTTCTTCTACTATATTCTATTATATTCTATTTAGAATTATTATAAATAAAAAATATAAAAATAAAACAAAAATTGCGCGCACAATTCTTTATATTGTAATAATATTTAAAAAATATTTTAAAAATTGTGCCCTTGTTAGTACTTTTTTTAAATCACTGTTCGTACGATATTATAAAAGATATCAATAGTCAATAAAATTTCTTTCCGAGAGCTCCTCAGAAAGATTTTTAAAACAAAACATCAGACCACATATATATGATTCGATTAATTACGATTAATTCTGAAACATATGATTGACACACGCAAACGAGAGATTTATTGCCATCATCGTAAAAGGGACCTATATACAAATTGACCTATGTGAAGAGTATTTTACAGCGTGCGACAGAATCGAATTCTTTATATCAATTCTGCCAAATTGGTCCAATTGGATTTTATTTTTTTTTTATATTCAATTAAAAGAAGCATATATGTAAAAAAATAAAAAATTGTATAGTATATTTTTTTCATTTAGTTTATTTATTATTGCAATATATATTTTTATTTTTTTTTAATTATTATTTTTAATATTTTGCATGTTAATTTTTGCCATCTTGTATCTTTGTAACTATATATATATATATATATATATAGTCTTTATAAGTATAAAATATGTAATTTTAATTATTTTTAATATATTATAATAATATTTAATATATTATATTTTTAATATTTTAACTCTATAAAGTTTAATTTATGAAAATTTTTTCTTTCTCAATCATTAATAATTTAAAAATTATTAGAACCTCAACATTTTCACAAAGGAAAATCATCTCCGCAAATTGGCCAGAGATGAATTTGATGGCGTTCCATATACGTTTGTTTAGTTATACATCCGTATATGTATTTTATTATATTATATATTATATTATATATTAATTATACACATATATATATATATATATATATATATATAATATATAATAATAATAATAAAGTATTACATATCTTATACAGGGTGTCCCATTTAACTTGAGACAACTAAATATTTCGAAAAATAAGCATTGTACGAAAAAATGTCCCTAATAAACTTTTAACATTATCAAGGGGGACGTCTGCCTGTATAAAAATTAACCCACCCCCACCGCCCCTTAGGGGTGGGGCGGGTGTCAACTTTAAAATTTTAAATGGGAACCCCCATTTTTTATTGCAGATTCGGATTCCTTGGAAAAAAATACGTAAGTTTTGTCCGAGACATTTTTTCGAATCGTGATAGATGTAATCAGTAAAAATTAGTTTTTGCCATTTTCTCTCACCATCGGGGTGCTTTTATTTCGGTGAGTCCCCTCGCCTCTCACCATCGGGGTGCTTTTATTTCGGTGAGTCCCTTTGCCTCTCACCATCGGGGTGCTTTATTTCGGTGAGTCCCCTCGCCTCTCACCATCGGGGTGCTTTATTTCGGTGAGTCCCCTCGCCTCTCACCATCAGGGTGCTTTATTTTGGTGAGTCCCCTCGCCTCTCATCATCGGGGTGCTTTATTTCGGTGAGTCCCCTCGCCTCTCACCATCGGGGTGCTTTATTTCGGTGAGTCCCCTCGCCTCTCACCATCGGGGTGCTTTATTTCGGTGAGTCCCCTCGCCTCTCACTATTCAATTACAATAAATGCTCGAAATGATGACCTTCCATTTCGATGCATTTATTAACTAAATGATGGAACGTATTAGATATGCTTGCGCACAAATAACGCCAGATACACTTTCTACATGTGTACAAGCATTCCAAGGTCGAGTTAATAAATGCATCGAAATGGAAGGTCATCATTTCGAGCATTTATTGTAATTGAATAGTGAGAGGCGAGGGGACTCACTGAAATAGAGCACCCCGATGGTGAGAGGCGAGGGGACTCACCGATATAAAGCACCCCGATGGTGAGAGGCGAAGGGACTCACCGAAATAAAGCACCTCGATGATGAGAGGCGAGGGGACTCACCGAAATAAAGCACCCCGATGGTGAGAGGCGAGGGGACTCACCGAAATAAAGCACCCCGATGGTGAGAGGCGAGGGGACTCACCGAAATAAAGCACCCCGATGGTGAGAGGCGAGGAGACTCACCGAAATAAAGCACCCCGATGGTGAGAGGCGAGGGGACTCACCGAAATAAAGCACCCCGATGGTGAGAGGCGAGGGGAATCACCGAAATAAAGCACCCCGATGGTGAGAGGCGAGGGGACTCACCGAAATAAAAGCACCCCGATGGTGAGAGGCAAAGGGACTCACCGAAATAAAGCACCCCGATGGTGAGAGGCGAGGGGACTCACCGAAATAAAAGCACCCCGATGGTGAGAGGCGAGGGGACTCACCGAAATAAAAGCACCCCGATGGTGAGAGAAAATGGCAAAAACTAATTTTTACTGATTACATCTATCACGATTCGAAAAAATGTCTCGGACAAAACTTACGTATTTTTTTCCAAGGAATCCGAATCTGTAATAAAAAATGGGGGTTCCCATTTAAAATTTCAAAGTTGACACCCGCCCCACCCCTAAGGGGCGGTGGGGGTGGGTTAATTTTTACACAGGCAGACGTCCCCCTTGATAATGTTAAAAGTTTATTTGGGACATTTTTTCGTACAATGCTTATTTTTCGAAATATTTAGTTGTCTCAAGTTAAATGGGACACCCTGTATACAATAGATTTATTACGTGAAAAATAAGGTTATGTGAAGAAAGAGAAAGAGAGAGAAAAAATCGGAATGTTTTATATAGAGTCCAATAATCGATCGCTCTGAAGTCTGCGACGAATTTCCCGAGGACTTTCTCGTCTCGCCGCGTGTATTCTTAGGTCGTCGAGCCGCACACCACGTTCGTCCGTCCGACATATTCTCTTCTTCCTCCTTTTTCCATTCGTCCGTCCGCGTACACATGCATACACGCGCGCGCGCTAGAGGACCGCTGCGCGAACGCCAGCCAGTCAGCTGGCTCGCCTGGCCGCCACGCAGCACGCAGGCCCGACGCGAGAGAACAGTCCACCTGAATCCATCGTTCGCGCCGCGCGAGAGCCTCCTGGCGCTACGTTCAGAGCGCTGCGTAACTTGTTGCTCGCGCGCACAGCGTTCGTCGGCGAGCGAGCGAGCGAGCAAAGAGATAGACAGATAGATAGGGAGAGAGAGAGAGAAAGAGAGGAATATCTGAGTGAAGAAAGGTGGGAAGAGGACGAGGAAGAGAAGAAGCATCGCGGTGTCGCTTGCTTGCGGCTCGCGGCCGGGAGCCGAGAGCGAGAAAGCGTGGGGAAGGAAAGGGAAACATACATACACCGGATATACGGCGCGCACGGAGCCTTTTCTTCGTCTGTTGTCTGCTCGCGCAGACTTGGCGAGCCGGTGAGAGAGCGCGTGTCTTACCATTATAATACCGCGTATGCATGTATCTTTGTGTGGCTACGTATGCATGCGTGCATGCCGTTATCAATTTTCATCGGATGGCACCTCTGAATCGCGGGCGACACCTCCGATCGCGGACGGCACCTCCGAGAGACGGTTCTCGCCGGTCGCTATTGATTCTCATTTTCTCATTGACGACGAGTTAGAGAGCCTCTGGCCATCCTAACCTCAATTCTGAATCCCGTTGATCTGGCGCGAGAACGAGAATTGAGGAAATATAAGTATATATTCCTTCTCGCGTTAATATGCGATAATTCTTGTTTTTTTTATTTTTTTCTCTTGTTCTCTCTCCTTATTATTTCCCCACTCGTTCCATTTTTTCGAAAGGCTAAAAATACCAATTTTTGTCGTGCAGGCCGCGACTATTTCGGCGCCGGCGTCGCCGACCGTGATAGAATATAATCTAATTCTCGGTTTTTCCGTGATTCTGAAGGTTCTTCCTGAGCGGTTCTTCTTGTCGCGGAAGTCCTTCGTGGCATTTTTTGTCTACTTCGTGATAAGAAAAGGAAAAAAGGAATTCCAGTAAAAACCGCCGCGATCGATATATCCAGGTCGATTGTTTACCAGTAAAGATTGATGATGATAAATGATGATGATGATGATGATGATGATGATGATGATGATGATGATGATGCGCTATGCATTGACATTATGCATCATCGGACGACAGTTGGTTGAACATATACATTCATAGCCAGATAAAAAAAGGAGCGCGAACAGGTGTCGAATCAGGCTTTATGGAATTGTATACCGGGTGATCGGATGTCGATTTATTTTTGCCGCGCGTTATCGCGCCGTATCACTTTATGGAAGAAATGATTCTCTTTAGATACCAATGATGAAATATATTAATTAGATTATTAAAAGTGTCCCTTATCTTTGCAATAATAAATTTATTAATAATTAATTATTATATAATTTATCAATAATTAATTTATACTTTTAGACTGATATATTTTTAAGAAAGAAATGCATTCTTTTTTCAAGTATCAGTAATGAAATATTAATTAGAGTAAAAGTTTTTTTAAATAATGTACTTTTTTAAATTGATATATTTTCATCGATATTTTATCGGTATATACAGGGTGTATTGAAAAAAAAAACATACGAGAGAAGGTCAGATTTTTTACAGATTCCCAATTGTTGCCATCTTATATTTTTTGTATAAGCCTTGAATTAAAATTTTATTAAAGTAAATTACTTGAAATTAACTAAAGAATGTATAGTTTTGTTAATATTTTAACTCTACAAAGTTTAATTTGCGAAGCGCTCTTCTTTTTTCAGTCATTAATAACTTGAAAATTATTGCTGCCTCGATATTTTCACTGAGGAAAAATTATCTTCAAATTGGCCAGAGAATTTGATAGCGTTCTATATATGTTTGTTCAGTTACACTTTGTATAATATAGAGTTTTTTATATTTCTAATTATAAATGTGAACCTTAGTAGCAAACTGACGTAATTGAACGTCATTTTGACGTCCAATTACGTTAGTTTGCTACTAAGGTTCACATTTACAATTAGAAATATAAAAAAAACTATACTGTATAGGGTGATGAAATATATACACCATCAAATGACGTCATTTTGACATCAAATGACGTTATTAACCATCAAATGACATTATTAACCGTCAAAATGACGTATACTTGCTACCTGGGAATACTTCAAACTACTCCAGCTAAGAATCTCCACAAAAGGAACATTCCAACTACGAGACTCGAGGAAAGGGAAATGACAATTACATAAATAAGCTGATTTATTTGTGGTACTACACGTTGTGTATGATTGACGGAATATAATAGAGACTGAATAGATTGAGCGAACCGAAAACGCGGAGAAGACTTAATGAATCTTCGCGCGTAGGACGAATGACGCGAAGTTATTCGCAAATGAAGAAGCCATTTTTGAATTGTCGAAGGAATAACGCACACCATTTATGGGGACACGTGTTCTTTCGCGGACTCGTGTCTCGTCTCGCGAACAAATCAAGATTATAGTTATTCGTTATTATTATCGTTAATTTATATTAACCAATCCAGCTGTTCAGCTTTATTATGACGCTTTCGATATGGATTAGATATTAGATATATGTAAAAGAGTTGTGCGTTATACACAGACATATAAATGTATAAGATTTGTTGCCAGACAGTGTTAGACCTTTGTCCAGAGATATTAGAACCTTTGTTCTAGAGCAAGAAAACACAGACATGATGCGATACAATTGATTATTGAATAGAAAATTTGTTTAATTCTGAAAATTGTTCAATTTGAAAAATTTGATTTATGTATGTTTCTTATTGGAAAGCTTCCATATATTAGGACCTTTCTAGCAAAAAACTGATATTTAAAAAATCCCGAAAATTGTTCTATTTGATAATCATATTGTATTGTATTATGTGTATTATTTACTGGAAAGTTTCTATTTACACAGGGTGTATAAACCATCAAATTTTCTGGCCAATTTAGAGACATTTTGAATTTTTCTTTAAAAAATCGAAAAGTCTCTATTTTTTACTCGTTTCCAATAATATTTGCCATCATGAATCTTTATATAAATTTTAAAAATTATAATTCTATTAAACTTTACCTAAAATTAATTGAAAAATGTAGTTTTGTAATATTTTAACTCTCCAAAGTTTAGTTTGCGAGAAGCTCTTCTTTTTTTGATCATTTATAAGTTGATGCTTTGACATTTTCACTGAGCAAAAATCGTCTCCAAATTGGCCAGAGAATTCGATGGTATGTTCCATGTACATTTTTCACACCGTCTATATACATATTTAGCAGATTACATTTATCAATATAAATATGTTGGATTGATGAGATACATGATTCGATGAATCAACAAGAGCGATATTTTGCTTGGAAACAACAGACGGAAAAAATAAGTTTAGGAAAATTTTCAAAATTATTTGACCTTCAATTTCTTATTCAACACTTCGGTAGTTCTCGTTTTTTTCTTAAACGACCTTACAATTAATTTTATTGCACGGCTTATTAACGTGGAGACACACTGAGGCGTAACGAAATTGGAGGTCAAACAATTTTTTTCTAAATATTCATTGTGACCCACCTAGTGACTTTGCCTATAAAATTTGTTTATAAAAGCACACTTTTTATCAAGACATGCTCACTATTGCTCGACGTTTATGAAACAATCGTGGGTGTGTTTGAATCACAATAAAGTTCTCAAGTAACGAATAGGAGTCATCATCATGTAAGTAGTCTTGTAAAGTAACTCGGGTTCGTGAGAGTTCATCATCACATATATTATCTTCATCATTATTATTATTATTCTTATATATTCAATTTATGTAATTTAAGTTTAAAATATATACACGGTGTGACTGAATACCATCAAATTTTCTAGTCAATTTGGAGACGATTTTTCAACCAAAATGTCCAAGCACCAATAGCTTTCAAGTTATCAATGATTGAAAAAACAGAGTTCCTCACTAAACTTTAGTTTCAAACTAAACTTTGTATCTGAAATTAACTGAAGAATGTAGCTTTGTCAATATTTTAATTCTACAAAGTTTAGTTTGAAACTAAAGTTTAGTGAGGAACTCTGTTTTTTCAATTATATATATTTTTCAATCATATATATATATATATATATATACATATACATATTTTATATTTTTATGTACGATATATATATCGGGAAGCGTAAATATTGAACTGCTGTATTATCACTATATTATTATTTGATTACTCGAGTAGCACTATCTTTCTATATTTGGTATTATCATGAAACTTTGCGCCGATAACTGTTCTTCCTGATCTACCACACCAGACCAGTAAATATAGAGAATCAGTTAGTATGCTTCGAGCGAGTCTTTGCTCAATACGTTCACCCGTATTTTTGATAGAAAAGAAGGAAAAATGTCCGCAACATATCTTCTGACAAGTATTTTGAATTTTGTTTTTAGGAAATTCATCATGTCGCATCACATCGTCACTGTCTGCGTGGTTTGCGTCTTATGTGCGGCACACGTGCCCTGTTCGGCCCACACAAACCCATCAGCGACACTGGCAACGCTAGTGCACAGCTACAGCAACTCGACAAACACCGGAGATCCCTCGGATCCGAGTGCACAGCCGTTTCCATCGACTCCAATCAGTTTCAGGGATCCAACACGTCCTTACAGTAACTTTGTTAGCAATAAACATAAACTTTCCGCATCCCGCGATGCTCATCCCGCGAAGAAGGACACCACGGAAAGCTTCAAGGACGGCGGGAAGACCCGGTCCACCACCTCCTCTTCGTCGTCGATCGGGTCTGGAAGTTCGAGAGACGCAGAGCTTCTGGAGCGACTCGCCCAAACGAAATTAGAACAGTTCAATACGAAGCAGGACTCTAGTGTAGATTTAGATACCGATTATAGAGCTAGATTGAAGAGGGACGTAACCGTGGTAGACGAGACATACTTCATGAGGAAGATCTTCGAGGCCTATGGTGACGGGACGAGTATAACTATGGACGGTTTCGAGAAACTCGTCCGAAAGCTGGGCCTGTTGAAGTTGCTGACCGACGCGTCGGGGCTGGAAAGTGGCGGCACTGAAAGAAGTAAGCGGAAAAATTAAGTCTATATAACGTGTGACGTTAATAAGAACGAACCGTGAGCGAATTTATTAGTGAGAATCAATTTTCTTTGCGACAGGTAACGGCAAAAGTTATTCCAATAATGGCCTACATGATGCAGATAGTAAGAATAGCAAGGAAAGGGTAAGATATAGAAGCTGTTTGGAAGTATACATGATTGTTCAAAAGTCCGGTTGTTGCGTATTTTTTTCAAATCAACTATATGTTTTCTTTACATCAATTGATTGGTCTCATTATTTAGTGCATAAAAGTATTAAGGTATGATTACTGAAAACTGAATATTTTACATTTTTTATATGTTAAAAAATTGTTAACTTGAGACCTTTATAACTCAAAAAATACTAAATAAAACAATGTTTTATTTTATTATAATGTTTGGCTTAGTATTTATCTCTCGAGATAAGCTATAAGAATATGCATGTGTAAAAAGAGGTTTCCATTAAAAAAATAACCTTGAAATGACCGCTAAATATGACCCCTAGATCAAAGTCAAGGTCACCATCGAGTGCTTTATTTTGAGCCCTACAACTTTTGTATTTAATATTTTTTCATAAGTTCACTATTTTCGGAGATAATTGGCTGTTGCCGAACTTTTAAACCATCCTGTATAATACTTGTGTGCTTAAAGTTAATTAATAAGGTTAATTATTTCATTTTGCACTTTAAAGTCTATTCAAATTTGTGTTAACTTTATTTATATCTTTATCAATATCATTTCAGTGCTTAAACAGCCAAGAGCTGCTGAGTACCGTCGCGCAGGACATGCACTATATTTCCGATAATAATATCACGACGATGCCCAGCTGGCTCTTTGAACGCGTATGTCCGGCTCTTGTATATCAACTGGCGGCCGAGTCGAGTTCAGAGAGGAACGGTTGTATACGGGTGCCCGAAAATTACAAACCCGTCGTGTCTAGTGATAAGTTTTATACGGAGGATTCAGTGCGTAATACTGTAAAAGGTATATATATGTATAGTGTTTATATGAAATACTTGGACAACGTTTTAGGACGATCGTTTTAGGACTTGGTTCTCGTCGCGGCTATGTTAGATTGTGACGTCAGAAGTGAGAAGGCACACTTTGACAATTGTCATTTTTAAATGAAAAGTTGTTCCGATGAAACACTACTTCAGATGGCTTTAGCACACTTTTAACATAACTCTAAAACTACCCAAGCAACATACTGACGTCATTAAACGTCACTTTGACGTTTAATAACGCCAGTATGTTACGTCAAAGTGACGTTTAATGACGTCAGTATGTTACTTAGATAGTTTTAGAAGTATTTTGAAAGTGTGTTGACTTGTAAAGTCATCTGAAGTAGTATTTCATCGAAATATTGTTTAACGTCATTAAACATCAAAATGACGTTACTTTGACGTTTAATGATGTTATTTGACGTCAAAATGACATCACTTTGACGTTTAATCATGTTATTTGATGTCAAAATGACGTACACTTGTTATCTGATTAATCTTTCCTTTCAACAGTCAATCAACAACCGTAAAATGATTGTAATATCAGATTGTCATAATGACTGCTCATGCGCAAAGACTCGACAGACTGGAACTCATTTTACAGCTGTTGAGTGATTATAAAGGGAAAATGATAATTTTAAAGGTATTTTCAGAGTGTGTTAAAGTGCTGGAATTTTTAGCATGTGTTTTCTCGCCTCTGACATCATCAATCTAACATGATTGCTGAGGAGCCTTAAGAGTCTTATTTGATAAATAAAATCCTAGATATAATATGTCCTAGGAGTTTGCTCAAGTCTTTCATAAACACCCTGTATATAGACGATTCATCTCTTGTCTTCTTATATACTTATAATCGTCTCATTGAATAATAAATGCAATTTGCACCCGTCTTTACTTATTTTCAGTCTGGGTATATTCTACAGCTAGTATTTTCGTAATTAGTCTTAGCGGGCTGCTCGGTGTAGCGGTAATTCCGGTCATGAAGAAGAATTATTATCATCACGTGCTGCAGTTTCTAGTCGCGCTGGCCGTAGGTACTTTAACCGGTGATGCCCTTATTCATCTATTACCACATGCAAGTTTTTTTTATTATCAAGATGTCATACGTACATCGACGTCAGAAACGCGGAGAATCTTTATTTTAATAAAGCAATTTTTCTCTCCTTTGCACTTTTAGGCGATGATGCCCCCTCATCATCACGAACATGGCGAACATCATGAACATCATCACGATGAGAGCAGCAGCACTTTGTTAATTAATCATATGGAGCAACACACTTCGAACATGTGGAAAGGATTGGTCGCTATGATGGGTTTCGTGTTCTTCTTCTTCACCGAGAAGCTTTTAATCACATTGACCGAATGGCGAAAGCATCGACAACGTCGAAGCAAGGTGAAAATCAAGGGGAAATTTTATTCTCTTCTACTTTGTTTATTATACAGGGTGATTCATTTTAATCGCTCCAAACAAATATTTTGAAAACTATGAAAAAATATTTTAAACAAAAGTTTTTTGACTTCGAGGGAGACGATGGTGTCATTGACTTTGTATAATCATTTGAAGGTCACGTATAGGTCACCTTCAATTTCATAAATAGAACCTACTATTTTTCATCACATTCTTGTAGCTTATCTCGAGAACTTTCCAAAACACTATAACAAAGTATTTTTTCATTAAATATTTTTAGAGTTATAGGAATAAAAAAAGTTATTAACTTCAAACTTTATATAAACTCGAAAAGTACTTAATGAAAATATATTTTATTATAATGTTTTCGAAAACTCTTGAGATAAGTTACTAGAATGTGTAATAAAAAATAGGGGTTTATGATAAAAAAATTGAAAGTGATCTTCACGTGACCTTCAAATGACTATTCAAGGTTAAATCAATGGCACCATCTTATATCCCCCTTTTATTTGAAATGTTTTTACGTATGTTTCATACTTATCGAGATATTTGTATGTCTATGTTATAAAATGACACCCTGTATATTGTTAAATCAATGATATAAAATTGTAGCTGCCCACGCGAGTACGAGTCATGAGAGAGAGCGACGGGGCAAACAGTAATGTCGTCGGTGAAAAACTGTGTAAACACAAGTACTCGTCGTATCCGTATTGTTACGGCGAGATCGCCAGCGAGACTCAAGGTAATAGGTAAACTGATTTTTATTGAATTGACTTTTCATCAAAGATCTTTGCATCTCAAAAAAAAAAGAAAAAATCTCAATACTAGAAATGTATGTAGATAATCATCACAATCGCCAAATCAGTCATCACGAGAGACCGCCCATCATCGAGGAGGAGAAACCGTTGACGTCGAATTGTAACTCCATTACGAAGATCGTCAGCAACGAGAAAGAAAAGAAAGACGATTGGAGATTGGACGACTCGGTTGTAGCTAACACGAAGAAAAACAGCGCCGATGGTGCCAACGCATCATTAAATGAATCCGAAAGCTACACAGTGATCATACGGGAACACGAGACCAAACATCACGGCCACAGTCATTCCCATGGTACGCGGGAATATGCTTTTATACAAATCTAAGTATGCGTTATTTTGGCATTTAATGACGTCAGATTTGCTACTTGGGAATATACCATATGTAGAATGATTCTAAGTATAAGTACCAAAAATTTTAAGAGAACGTCATTTTGATGTCGAATGACGTTATTAAACGTCAAAATGACGTCATTAAACGTCAAAATGACATTTGCCTAAAATTTTTGGCACTTAGAATCATTTTACATATATTCCCAAGTAGCAAAACTGACGTCATTAAATACCAAAATGACGTCATTTTGACATTTAATGACATCAGTTTGCTACTTGGGAATATATGTAGAATAATTCTAACAATAAGTGTAAGTGCTAACAATTTTAGGAGAGAATTCTTTGTTGAAAATTAAGGCTTTTAGCTCCTCACCGACCATATTGGAATTGTGACGTTAGAGGCGAGAAAACACATGCTAAAAATTCCAACACTTTAGATAACTTTAGTACACTTTTAGAATACCTCGAAAACTATTCTTTTCCCTCGACAATCAATTCCAGGACCCAGCAGCTTTAAAGAAAATCTTACATATAAACATATATATTTCTGTATCCTTCTTTGAGGAGTTACTCCTTCAAAGGAGGAGATGAAAATTAGGTTTCTTTTTTTTAATTTTGGACAAATTAAAGGAATAAAATTTGGTGAAATTACTTATTGTTAGTAATATTGGTTTAAATATTCTATCATATCCTTAAGGGGATAAAATTTTTGCAACCTCTATTCAATTTTTTATTAAATTTTTTTGACGAGCCAGATTGTAAAAGATCCATCTAAAAAGCCATCTAAAAAGATTAGAAAGCTTGATTCTTTTAAAAACGTTTTTATTTTTCATTTTTTTCATGCAATTAATTTAAAAAATATAAAATAAATACATTATAACGATATAAGAGAATTAACAAAATATTAATAAAAACTCTTTTTATTGGTGAAAAATATCCACTAAATTTTATTTTTTTTTTCAACTTGGATAAAATTAAAAAAAATAAAAGCCTAATTTTTATCTCCCTTTTGAAAGAGTGTAACTCTTCAAGAAAGGATATATATATATTTAAAAGGTTTCCTTAATTTTCAACAAAGAATCATCTACAATTTTTCACACTTATTCAGAATGATTCTATATACACGATAAATTATAAATACGTAATTATAAATACGATTTTGCTTAAATATAAAAATACAATAAGACTCAATAAATTAATTGGCACATGCCTGTTGCAAATTCTCCAGGACACGTGCACTCGGCTCCCGAATCCATGTCCAGCGTAGCTTGGATGGTCGTTCTCGGAGATGGTTTGCACAACTTCACGGACGGTATGGCCATCGGCGCGGCATTCTCGGCAAACATCGCGGGTGGATTCTCCACAGCCATCGCCGTTCTTTGCCACGAGTTGCCTCACGAAATTGGTAGTCGACTTTGTAAATCGTCGTGATTACATGTACCTGCATATACAGGGTGTTTACTTGGCTAAACTTCTAGGGCATCAAAAAATAAAAAAAGTTTATAGAGGAAAAAATAATATTAATTGAGTTTATTAATAATAGAGTCTATTAATAGTATACTAATAGTATATTAATAGAGTAATATTATATAAAATAATATTAATATATTAATATTTTAAAAGATGGGTCTTCACCGCGCTCCCATGTTAGATTATGACGTCAGAGGCGAGAAAGTACATTTTTAGAATTTTTCAGAATTTTTAACGCGTGCTTTCTCGTCTCTGACGTCATAATCTGACATAGTCGGCGAGAAGTCTAATAATAACAAAGAGATGCTATTCATTATTAATGCTTGCGATATTATGGGAAATCCAAGTATTTTGTAACCATTATATATATATATATATATATATATATATATATATATAATAAAATAAATATTACACTTATATAATAAAATAAACTTATAATAATGTGATAATATAATAATGTATGTACTTTCGTACTTTCAGGCGACTTTGCGGTACTGCTAAGAGCGGGTATGAGCACTAAACAGGCTGTTTTTTATAATCTATTATCTTCAGTGCTCTGTCTGTTCGGAATGATAGTGGGAGTATCATTAGGAAGCACCCCCGACGCGACTAGTTGGATGTTCGCAGCTGCCGCTGGGGTATTTCTATACATAGCATTAGTAGATATGGTTGGTCTTCAACATATTTCATAATCCTGACAATCCTGTAAATAAGAAAAAAAAATTAAGAAATTTAAATAACAAAAATACATAGGGTGTCCCATAGGAAATTGCTGAAATTGATTAGCTGTTATTTTTTAATGCATGCAGTTATTGAAAAAACAAAAATTGTGTTGGAAAGAGGAAAATCTGTTTTTAATGGATAAATAAAATGTTTGCGCACTAGTTTATTTTATTGATAAAAAGTAATTTAAAAAGTGCTAATAATCACAAAATCACATAAATTAATGATAAATATTTTCAGCAGTCAGATTTAATAGCAGCTGTTAAAAGGATTGTTAATAACATTAAAACTGACATGTTAGAAAAAGTTTTTACGAGTTTTCGTAAAAGAACAATTTTGTACAAATTTCAAATGGTGCGTACTTCGAAAATATTTATCATTAGCTTACATATGTGATTATTAGCACTTTTTTCGTTACTTTTTTCAATAAACTGGTAGACAAACATATTTATATTCATTAAAAACTGGAGACTTTCCAACACGATTTTTATTTTCTCATTAACTGTATGCATTAAAAAATGACAGCTAATCAGTTTCAGCAATTTCCTATGGTGATACCCTGTATGATTTATCAGTGTTTAATTGTTAAAATTATTTATATGTAAAATTTTTGTATTTAATTTAGAAAAATATTTTAAAAAATTAGTCATTGAAACAAATAATATTTAAAAATTTTGTTAATTAAATTTGGAATTAATTAGGAAAAAGGAGTGACGAAAAAAATTCGAAAAATTTATATAAGAAAGAAAGTATATATATATATATATATATATATAAAATTATATTTCTTTCTTTCAGATGCCAGAATTATCATCGAGTCATTCCGCGGAAAGTGGCTCGCGATGGCAGTGCATTTGGCAAGGTTTAGGATTGTTGACTGGTCTTGGGATTATGTTACTTATCGCCGCCTACGAGCACGATCTTAAGCACATTTTCGATAACTAGATTTACGAGTAATTTCTCTTGTAATCCTGTATATCGATATTATATACAAAATACATCTCTTCTTCCTGTTACGTTCGAATTACTAAGTGTACTCAGCATTACTAAGTGTATTTTTCTTTTCTAATCTCAACGCCTGGCCTTTTCGGCTTCTTAATGTTTATAATAATAATAGATTGGTTTTTCCCCAAAATAATTATTTTACTATCGTCGTTGTTTGAGAGAAAGAACGTAATGGGAAGGTTTACACACAAATTATACATCACAATTTAGATAAGATAGATTAATAATATTCGATTTAGAATTTGTCAATGAAAGGAGCAAAAGTGTATCGAATTTTTCATCATTAGATAGAGTGCTAATAATTGAATTGTGTGCAGAATTGAAAGAATTATTTCGCAACGAATATATTTTTCGACAAATATAATTTTCCATTGTATATTCATCCTCTTGGAATTATCTAATAGCATCTATGTAATAATAATTGCTGCAAAACGTAGATACTAGATAATTTTACAAGCCCACTGATAGTAAATTTTCTTCTCTGCGCAAAATTAATAATTGTTTTAACTTGAATAATTATATTTATAATAATTATTATATATAGAATAATATATATAGAATTATTATCATTATAATTTGTTTTCAATTTAATTCATATACATTGTACTGTTATATGTACGATATGTCTGCAGTATTATGCTTTGTGGAAGATTGTACAAACTCTGCGTAGACTACACAGATTTATACATATAAATGTGACAATGACATTTAATCCAATATCATTTTCCTTTATCAACTGCCCAGATAGACATATCAGCAGATTGCCTGCATAATGACAACATTTTAAAATTGAAAATGCTTGTATAAACATTAACAGGTGCAGCCTCATATGACATGAGTACTATCAGAGGTGAAAGGATCTTCTAATGCTGTAAAAGTTGCGAAAATATACTGCTTATTTTGTCAGAAATAATATAATAATTGCAGTTGTGCGTTTATAGTATAGTGAAACATATTGCTATTATATAAAGTATACAAAATATATGTTAACAATATGACATCATAATGCACAATTAAAATTTATTAAAATGACTCGTAATTTTATGCTGTTCTAATTGCATTACAAAGTATACATAAAATGTTTGCATACTTGCATGTTTGTATATGTTCAGTACACCTGTCTATCTGGGTGTTTTTGATATGGATAATGGTGCGCAACTATATTTGAGTACTGTTAATTTGCAGCAAATTTGTGATAATTTTTTTGCATAACATACTTACTAATTAATGTATGTATTAATGATGTGTCTATGTATATAAATACATATACACATTAATATACAGGATGTCCCAAAAATCTTGCAACAGTCAAATATCTCGAAAACAGAGGCTTTTTGAAAAAAATATTTTAACTGCGTAAATATGTGTAATAAAAAAGATTCTTATTTAAAAATTTCAAAATAAATTTTACATAGCATTAACAATGTTAAGCTAACATTGTTAAGCTTTAACAATGTTATATAATTACATTAATATTTAAAGCCTTATAATTTTTATTTGAAAAATTTTGTCAAAAGGTCTTTGTTTTTGAGATATTTGACTGTTGTGGGATTTTTGGAATACCTTGTATATGTACATCATTATACACATGTACATTTACATTATCACGAGAATTTGAATTCTATCACAGTTTAAGTAAATAGTAAATTATATCTTTTTATGGAAAAAGAAGAAAGTGTGCTGTGTAGTTTGAATAGAAGGTTGGCCGATGAGTCAATATTATTTAAGAAAAATATCTCATACATGACAATATTTGAAATGTACATTTATATAATTTGTACAACACATGAGTGTTATTTTCACCAAATATTAATAATAATAATAATAATTATTAAAATGTAATAACGATAATTATATATTAATAATAATTATATATTAATTTTATATATACATTGTGCATTGAAATACTAAAAAAAAATTAATTTTCACTCACATTTTGATTTTTATCCATTAAGATGCATATTGGAACACATTTAGAATGTAAAAAAATTGTATGTTGCTATGAATGTTAACTTGTCAAGAATTATTACTATTCTGTGCTCTTCGAAATTCCATCCACGTATACGTTTCAAGTTCCTCTTATACATTTTATTTATGTACATCTAGTATTAATATTACATATCTAATAATGACATTGTGGTTATTTTTATAGAAAATGTAAAAATGTAAAAAAAGTTCTCTTTTGTAATTTTGTTCATACACCACTGCCACAATTAAATCGATGTGTTGTGGATAAAATAAGTTGCATTAATTAAATTTAGAAAAGAAAAGTGAAATATTTGGATTAATCTCTTTAATATTTCCGAGTATTAAAATGAATCTAAATTATGATGAAAATGATTAAGAGAAGAGAAAACTCATTTAGAAAATAGAAAGTTAATCATTTTATTTAAATATTAATAATAAAACTATAAAGTTAGTTTACTTTCACTTTTCTATATATTACAGCATAGGTATCTTGTTATACATTTGAACTTAAAAAAAAATTAGTCGTGAAATTTCTATTGTACAATAGATATGAATTATTTTCACAAATCTCGAGTTTCTTTGCTGATCTATTATTAATTTAAATCAATATATTGTCTAACTTAAAATAATATAATACATGTTAAAATTTTTCAACTATATGATTTCTTTCTAATTTGCTCAGCTTGTTTATAAATATTTCAACAATTGATAGTACTCGATATAAAATGGTTACACGTGAAATAAATAAATTATGTACGTCGTTGCACATATTTGAAATCACTATCACACACACAGTAGTCCATAGACAGGAAGGATAGCGAATTATATCCTTGATATATTTGTTTATCAGTCGAACAAAACTCGATGAGAATAACAAAGACGTCGTAATTTGAAGATCACAGAAATATATTCTATCATACGTTAACGAAATCATCCCGATCGCTCATCTGCGCCGATAAACTGAACGCGGTGTCCGTGCTGGTCTCGCTGTTCAAGCTCTCGTTTGCGAACGAGGAGGGTTTTGCATGAGCGGAGTCGTTCATCTCTCTCATCAATCCCGCCATATCGTCGTCGGGATCGATTTCTTGCGCCTCGCCCACCACGTCGATCTCCATCGATTGGTTGTCAACTTGCCGCATCATAGGCTTCTCTTCCTCAAACTAGAAAAATTAATTTTATATTCAATATATAGAAGAATACATACTCAATTATTTGTGAATTCAATTAATAATTTATATATTTAATTTTTAAATTAATTATTCAATTAATATTTAAAATTTCTTAATATTTAATTTAATTAATTTTCTGTAAACAGTTAATATATTAATTCAATTAATTCATCAATTCAAATAAATAAATAATTTATTTAATTAAATTAATTCAATTAATATTTTAACATTTAATATTAATTTAATTAATAATTCATCATCTCAATATTTGTACTAATATTTAATATATTAATTTAATTAATATTCAATTAAATAATTCATCAATTCATATAAGTAATAATTGATTTAATTAATTCAAAGTAAATTATTCAATTAATATTTGATTATAAAATATAAGAATTCGAATATTAGTATTCATTTAATATTTGAAATTTCTTAATATTTAATACAATTAATTATGCATCAGATATCGATCATATACCTTTGTAGGCTCAAGTTTGCATGACGGCGGCAAATTCATATGAAAGACACAATTAGAATCGAAGATAACAGGCACAGGTTCGTGACACTCTATGTCCGCTCGAATCGCTCCGCATGCTTTGAACAAAACCTGATGTTGATCCTGTTGTGATGAAATAAAAAAAATTAAAATCACATTAATTATACAGGCCTAAAAATTCTGCAACAGTTAAATATCTCGAAAACAAAGACTTTTAGAGAAAGATGTTTTAAGTGAAAGTGTAGAGCTTTAAGTAATGCATTAAAAAATATTAGTGTGTTATAAATTTTTATTGTTTGTTAATATTGATTAATTTTATTATTATGACCATGTAAAATTTCCTTTGAAATTTTTTCAATGGAAACCTTTATTTTTGATTACATATAATTTATCTTAAGAGCTTTTCAAAACACTATAATAAAGTTTTTTCTGTTAAGTATTTTTTGAATTATGAGATTTGAAAAAGATATAGTATTTTCTGACATAAAATACAAAGAAAAAATATGTTGTAAATTGTATACATTTTTCAAAAATAACTATGCATTTTCTTTCCACCAATTGATTTGTCTAATTATTTTATACATAAAAGTTTAAGATTATCGAAAATAAATATTTACAAGCTATTTTGTACTTTATGTCAAAATATTGTAAACTTCAAATATTATATAATTCGAAATACACTAAATCAAAAAATACTTTATAATAGTGTTTTGAGAAGCTCTCGAGATATGCTAGAAAAATGTGCAATTAAAAAATAAGAGTTTCCATTAAACAATTTCAATGTAAATTTTACACGACTATAGTCACTAACATTACTATTTAATTCATTTAAAGCCCTATAACTTTTATTTGAAACATTTTTTTCAAAAAGTCTTTGTTTTCAAGATATTTGACTTGCAGGACTTTTGAATACCCTGTATATCCAAGAAAATAATATATAAATATCCTCCGTTTAATTTGTACCTTCAGAATATGCTTGCGACAATGTTTAGCCGACGGAAGAGTTCTTTCGCCACATTTCACACCACCTTCAGTAAATACGCATTTGGACATATTTGGAGGCTTCTGAGTTGGCTCAGTTACCTAAAACATATTATTATTGTATTTTTTCAAATTCAAATACAAAAAGGACTAGCAAAGCCAGGCATAGATAGAACAAAATTACTTTTAAATTTCTCTATAATTATTTTAGAATAAGAAATAATTAAAATAATAAATCATACAGATATTAGTAGTAACAAAATTATTGTTAAATTTTTTTATAATTATTAAAAAATAAATAAATAAAATAAAATAATAAATCAAAAACGCTCTTTCTAATACAAAATAAAATTATTGTAAAATTCTATATAATTAATTTAAATTTAATATAATTATTTTGAGTGTCTCTTATTAATCTTTTTCATACCTGAATTTGTATACATACATACATTACATATACACATATATATATATATATCATACACACACACACACACACACATATATATATATAAAGATGTCGAAATGAAGAATCTTTGATTTTGCTACGTGATTTCCCTTCCAAAAACAAGAATCGAACCACCGACCGATATTGCTCTTTTTCCATTTTTCTAAAATCCGCGGACACGCCCGCTTCCACACGCGGTCAAAACAAATCTACGAGTCCGATTCGGCTGAAATTTTGACAGTAGCCGTCTACGAGAATGTACTACACGATAGTAAAACTCTCTTGCGATACTGGCACCATCAGGCGATGAGGCTAAGTACTTACCAGACTGCCCTCGTATATATATTAAAACATTTTCGATTATTTTTTTTCGGCCAATTCAAATACTAATAAAATGATCTCATAGCAATTATCGCATGATAAACATATAGTTATCTGTTACCTGTGCACGACGTTCCAATGATTTCCTATAAAGTATTGCTTCAGCTCCACTTCGTCTGTGATAGCGATTCAAAGCCTTCAATTTTTCGTAAAGCTTCTTCTCCTTCGCAGTCTCCTTAGTCTGATCGTGTATACTGCCTGTATATTTTTTAAAATTTATTCAATTTATTTATTTAAATTCATTATTAAAATAACATTATGGATCGACTTCATTGGCAAATTATAACAATTTATTGATCTTAGATACAACGTTTCGATCTTTGGTTTAAATCATTTTCAATAAATTGTTATAATTTGCCAATGAAGTCGGTCCATAATATTGTTTTATTAATTATGAACTCTGGCGATTCTTGAAAGATTATTATTTTAATTAATTAAATTAATTAGTTAAATAAATTTGATTTTCTTTTTTTCATTTGTTGAAACTCTGACATTAACAATGAAGCATTACTTACAAAACGTTTCCTTTTCCTTCTTCAAAGCGAGCAGATATTTTCGCCTCTTCTCCTTCAATATATATTGCAGTCTCCTAAATTGATCGATGTAAAGTGACTGGAGCCTAATCAATTTCTCCCTTGCAATATAAATCACCTCCTCCGCGGTAAAAATGCCGGCATGCCTTAAAAAGTTGATACTAACAATTTGGAGAGTAAGAAGTATCTTATCTTTGTGCAAAGCAAAACTACAATTAAATTATTATAAAAACAAACATGCACTGTTTTTAATTTTTAAGAAAAAAAGCGTATGAAAATCTTGGGGGGGTCTATTAATAACGTAACTTTAAGATTATCCAATTTTACAAAACTTAAAAAAGAAAGGAAGATTAAAATCTCTTTCAATTTTGAAAAACTTGTTATTTTGGGCAATTTTTATTGTAATCTGTTAAAGCAAGGAAAACACATTTTGAACTATAACATTTTTAATTGAATAACTATTGAACAACTATTAAACAACTATTGAATAACTATTAAATAATTAAATATTAATCTAACTATTAAATATGACTCAAAAATCAAATGCAATTAATCTATACAATTTATAAACAAGCTCTGATATTTGGATAAATAATAGAGATAATTATGAATTTTATTAGAAATTGCACAAGCTGAAGCATGCTAGCGGATATTCTACACAGATTGATGTTTGAAACAATTAGCACATATAGTAGCGTCATAGCTTATATTTACTTTAAAGGATCCTCTTGTGGGCTGTGTAAACTTTCATTGTCGCTATCATCTAGATAAACCCCTCTCAGAGTATCATTGACGACCGTAGGTTCAACGTCGCTCTCTGACGAACTGGCATAATCTAAGATGTCACTTCCACTCGCATTTACTCTGTAAGCATCAACTTCAGCTGAAAACAATAACTTGTTGATGTTCTCATTTACAGAATTACATCTAAATTTTTATTTCATAAAAAAAAAATTTATCACCCAAATTTTGCAAAAATGTTTTGTAAAATAAATGTAGAGTTTGTATAAATATAGTGTAAGTGTTGAAAAACATGTAAAGTACTATTTTGAGAATAAACAAATAAAAATAAATTTCGTAATATAATTAAAACGAGAATTAAGATATGAGTATAGAAAAGATATACAAGGTCTATGAAAGTCCTAAACCTCTTAATTATCTTAAACAATACAGATTTCTGAAGTATTTCATATGAAATTTGTAAGGTTTTAAGTGGTGCATTACATAACAATATTATTATTATTAATATACATAATATAGCAATATTATGTGACCTTGAATAGCATTGTTAAGATCACCTTCAATTTTTTTTAAATGTAAATCCCTATTTTTCAATGCATATTTTTATAGCTTATCTCGACAGCTTTTCAAAACACAAAGTATTTTTTATTAAGACCTTTTTAAGTTGAGACATGAAATTTACAATATTTTGACAAAAAATACAAAATATCTTGCAAAACATTCGGTTTTCGATAATCTACTTTTCTATACATAATAATTAAATTAATATATTTGTGTAAAAAAAATTGTTAATTTTAAAAAAATATGTTGCAAGTCACATACTTTTTTACTTTTTGTCCACCCTGTACATACAATAAATATAAACAAAAATCGTGCGATACTCACTGAAAGGATCTAAGGCTCTGATTCTTCCTCCTTCATCTTCTGTGTTTTCGGCACTAGAATCAACAGATTTGGTATAATGACCTAAATTAAGTAGTAACATTTCAGGTGTTTGTGGCAAAGAACGTCGCGACACAGATTTAATCCTTGCAATTTGTGCTTTTCTAGAATGTTCACCACAGTATCTGCAAAAATTGAAATTGTTGCCATTAATTAGCTGTTCATTTTTTTAAAAAAGCAAAATAATTCATAATTTATTTTACAAGCTGCATATTGTAAGAGTATACTTACGAAATATCCCTCCTATCTAACTTTGGTGCTGGATTTTGACATTTCCTTCCATTTGTGTTATACACAAAAGCACACAGCTTATAAGGTGCACTGGCATCTTCGAGAATATGCTTTGCACAATATGAATATCCCTCCAGGCAGGGTTGCATGCATTCGTAAGATGTGTAGAGACAGCTTTGCACTTTGGAACGCTTTGTTATTGTTGTTGCAGTTGATGTAGGCATTGTGGATTTTGGTGTCCGAAACATATCTTGTTACTGTAAAATAAATAAATATAATAAACAATAAATATAAGTAAAATATTTTAAAAGATGAGAAAAAACTTTTTAAATTTAAATTAATATTTTATAAAAAGCAGAATAAAGCAATATCAATATGCATATGGCTGCATTTTACTAATATATTCCATAAATTACACAAAATATATATTTCATTATTTATATTATTATATATATTATGTTATTTAGGTAATTTATATATTATTTATATATATGTAATTAAATAAATATATAAATTCTATAAATTATATAAACTCTATAAATTGACATTACTAAAAAAATTATATTAATAATTGATAACTGATTATAATCGTGTTCTCGAAAAAAATATGGATATATATTTGCAACAAGAATACGATTAAAAATCAAAGGCAAAGCACATCCGCCATTTTAACCGGGATACGTTGTAGAGAAAATCTTTTGACAAATTTTAAAATTTCGAAAATACGATCGTTTTATTTTCACCGAAACATAGAAATAATTGTACTTTACCAAATTTTTCACGCGTGCCTAATTCGAAAGAATAAAAATAACTTACTGCGCTCGGGATAAAGGATAACCTTTGAGCGTACTTGATGACATCGAACATCGGACTATCGGACAGTGTCGTCCTTGGATTGTAGAAATAATTGAACAAAGCACAAGGTACTTTTTTGACCCAGGAAGATGAAACTTTGAAGAAAGGAAAAATTGGTTACCAATCGAATCGGCCATCTTGGGCCATAATCAACTCTGATTGGATTGAAATATAGCCAATCCACATTAAAATATTTAGGCCGGCGTCCCATGGAGCGGATTATGCGGAAGCGGAACCAACGGATCGCCAATCACGGAATCGTTCCGATAGAACTTATCGATAAGCTTCATCGAAAAGATTCCGTGATTGGCGATCCGCTGGTTCCGCTTCCGCGTAATTCGCTCCATGGGACGCCGGCCTTAGGCCCGGTTCCACAAACGATTATATCTATGTCTCTTTTTAAAGGTTTGTTCGCGTCGCATGTCCCAACATGCTCCTTCTTACTTCAATGCGCTCGTATTGGTGTGCTCCTCGAATTGGACCAATACGAGCGCATTGAAGTAAAAAGGAGCAAGTTGGGGCATGCGACGCGACAAACCTAATGTGCTCGTATTGGTGCAATTCGAGGAGCGCACTAATACAAACGCATTGGAGTAAGGAGTATGTTGGAGCATGCGACGCAAACAAACCTAATACAACACAGTGTATCATTCTATCTTTGTCATTCATTGGTATTGAAAGAGCACTGGACGTTCTGCTCTTGATGATTTTGCGCCTTTTTTCCCTATATTGTCGAGCATCTTTTTCGTCTCATCAATTCTTTTATAATCGAGCAGTGCATTCTGCCCTTGATGATTTTGTGCCTTCTTTCTCTATTGTCGAGCATCTTTTTTTCCGCTTCGGCAATTCCTTTAATCGTCGAGCTATGTATTCTGCACTTGACAATTTGCTTTATTTCTTAGGGTGCTTTCCAGCAACGACACAATACGACACAGTGTATTATTCTATCTTCTTTCAATACCAATGAATGACAAAGATAGAATGATACACTGTGTCGTATTGTGTCGTTGCTGGAAAGCACCCTAAGAAATAAAGCAAATTGTCAAGTGCAGAATACATAGCTCGACGATTAAAGGAATGGCCGAAGCGGGAAAAAGATGCTCGACAATAGAGAAAAAAGGCACAAAATCATCAAGGGCAGAATGCACTGCTCGATTATAAAAGAATTGATGAGACGAAAAAGATGCTCGACAACATAGGGAAAGAAGGCGCAAAATCATCAAGAGCAGAACGTCCAGTGCTCGACAATTATAAAAGAATAAAGAAAGAAGACGCAAAATCATCAAGGGCAGAATGCACTGCTCGATATGATTATAAAAGAATAGAGGAAGCAGGCGCAAAATCATCAAGGGCAGAATGCACTGTTCGATGATTATAAAAGAATTGACGAGACGAAAAAGATGCTTGACAATATAGGGAAAGAAAGCACAAAATCGTCAAGAGCAGAACGCAGTGCTGGATGATTATAAAAGCATTGTCGAGATGAAAAAAGGATGCTCGACAATAGAGAAAGAAGGCGCAACGTCGTCGCAATAAAATAATAGTAGGATGATGATAATTGTTGATCTAACGCAACTTTTGAACAGAATTCAGGGGGTCGATTGTGTAACTTTTTCTAAAGTGAAAACGTGATTTTAAAATGAAATCAATGTGTGATTGGAAGAAATTTTTCACTTTTCACATTTTCACTTTAGAAAAAATTACACAATCGACTCCCTGATTCTTATGTAAGTAATGTTTTAGAGAAGTCTTTGTTAGTATGAAAGGTACTTTTATACTTTGCAATGGATGTTGGTTGAACCTTTATAGCGTCAATTTGCAGCGTGTAAGATGTAGTGAACCAGAGGGGAGAGGTCCCTGCTAAGAGACCTCCCTACGGCACGCAGATTTAGTCCATTGTGCCTCCCTATTGGGGTCTGGGTAGACTCGAACCCGCGTTCCACCTATTCTTCGCCTCAAGCGAGTTTCGGTGACGCAGCGTGCACGGCTACCCGCCGCTTCTACATTAAGGCTTAGGGTGCGATTACATGGACGCGCGGAAACGCGGAAACGCGGAAACGCGGAAGAGAAAGTAACTAAACTTTACTAGAGTCCCGCATTTCCGCGCGTTCCGTTCCGTCTGTTTTGATTGCCTTATATTACATGGAGCACATTTTGAGCGGAAAAGCGGAACGGGGAATTATAAAATATTAATATTTAAGGGTCGGCAGTACACCCAGGCAAACTCCGAATTGATATTGGAGACCTCGTGCGGTGACAACGCGAAACTCCGGTTTCAGTGTTGCCAACGCCGAGAAACCAATTCTCGGGTTTTATGTAGTGGTGTATGTCTGTACACGTACATACACCAACTGCATCGCTCACGCGGACGCACGTAAGAGAGACAAGGACCGATAATCACGTGTTCTCCTTGTTCATCTACCGTGCCGGTATACGCGAGATGCCGCCTGAAAATGCTTTCTGGCCTTCCGTAGCAGAAAGCAGTAACGTAGCAAAACTAATAAGCACCCACTTTTTGGAAGTATATATGGTTATGCACATATGTGCATAACGTATATATATAACATATATATATATATATATATATATATATATATATATATTATATAAGGGATATGTTGATTATATTCTTGATTTCTTTTTGATTATTGATGCTATTGTATAATTTGCTCCAAATACTTATAACGTGAAAGAACGTTGAGTAATGTATAATCAATGCAAGGATGTTCAGTATATCATCCAGTATATAAATTAGAGTTCAAATATATCAATATCAATTTTTTTATAATATATATATATATATATATATTAGAATATAGAAAAATGATAAAAAAATATATTTCGGCGATTTAAAAATTTTTTAATATATTGAAAATATTTTTACTACATACACTATATATAAGTGTAAAATAATTCAGAAAATAAATTTAATAAAAATCTACATACCAGCTGTGTGCATGTGTGCAATTGATTTATTACTTGAAATTTATTTACGGAATTATTTTGCATTTATATATTTATAGTATGTGTAGTTGTAAAATGATTAAAATATTTTCAATATCAAATTTTTAAGTTTATCGCCTATATAAAAAATATATTTCTATGATTTTCTATATTCCAATATATTATAAAAAAATTGATATTGATATATTTGAACTCAAGTTTTTTACGTGATTAAATATTCTTGCATTGAGCCATCATACGTTACTCGTAAGTTCTTTCACGTCATAAGTACTTATGTAGCAGAGAGAAAGAAATGAGAGTTATACAATGTAACATCAATAATCTTTTATATTATAATCTTATATATTATATATATATAATATTTCATTTATTTATAAAAAACATTTTATAAATAAGTAAAATATTATACAGACAATGTACAAGATGTTCAGTTTGTGCCATAACAAGCTTCAATCAATAATTATTACTCCAATGAGTATAATTCACAATAATTTTTATATAATATAATAAATATTTGAATATATAAAAATATTTTTAAAAATTTGTTTTAAAAATTAATTGAAAAAAAATATTTAAAATATTTTTTTATATTTAAAATATTCTTTTCCTCAATTAATCTTAAAAAAAATATTTTTAAATATTTAAAAATATTTAAAAATACTATATATTATATAAAAATAATTGTTGATTATTATATTGGATTATTAATTGAATGAAGCTTTTAATATGGCTTTTAATACTGCTTGACAAGGAGAGAGCATCATTCCATCTTTGTCTCTCTTACATCGCATATGTAGTAGCGTCCATGTAGGTACAAACACTAAAAAATATTAAATTTAATTTTTTTATTGTTTTGAATAATTTTATCATTAATATACTTATTTTCAGAACTATTTCAATTTTTATTTCATACTTATGTTTATATAAATTATAAATTAAAAACATATCAAAAATGTAATACATATTAATAAAATGCAAATACATATAGAAAATTAATTATAAAATGTCATCTTAAAATAGTTTTTATTTTTGTTCTTTATTTACATATGCATACATATACAAAAAAATAAAAATAATATGATAGCCTTTTTGCTGACATTATCTCTCAATATTTGCATCCGTGTGCTCACGTATTAGTGTTTGTACCTACATGGACGCTACTACATATGCGATGTAAGAGAGACAAAGATGGAATGATGCTCTCTCCTTGTCAAGCAGTCAGCATGTTACCACAGAAATTTCCCCTGCTCCTTATGAATCTAGTGAGAATCTTATCGTCCAGATATTTCATAAAATAAGTGACATAACTTCGTGAATTTTTTTTTAATATATTCTTTATATAATAAAGCAGTCCTCTAAAAGGCCGGATTTTACATTTTCGCTCTTAAAAATTTATAATAAATAAAATACGGACTCGCGGCTAACCCAACCTTACCCG